GGTCTAGATAATGACATCTCGGCCAATATGTCAGGGTGAGGGTGGAGGTCAACCAAAGTGGTTCCAAGATGGTCCTAGGTGTAAGAAGTTCAAAGGTGTAACCTAGGCTTAAGATGACCTCGGCTAAACTCACACCAAGCAAGGAACAAGACATGCAAGCAACACTTAAACGAAACTAATCAAAATATGCAAAAATGCAAGCTTAATCAATATAAGGATCATGCAAAAATGTACGTAAGCATGACTACAATAAAGTGAGGGTTGCTACATTACAAAAGTGAAGTTTTTGCTAAATTTGTGGAATTCACAACTTATGTTGTAAATCAATTTTCCGTTCACCTAAAATTTTTTCGCACTGATGGTGGCACTGAGTTTGTCAATTCATCTATGACTCAATTTTTCACACTCATGGCATTCTCCATCAAATTTCTTGCCCACATACGCCTCCTCAAAATGGAGTCTCTGAAAGGAAGCATAGGCATATCACTGAGACTGCCATTGTTTTGCTTCATCATTCTTGTCTTCCCATCAAGTACTGGTTTGATGCCATTTCTACAGCTATCTTTTTGATTAATCATTTGCCTAGTTCTAAAACTCCTCATTCTTCTCCTTATGAATTGTTGTTTCATAAATCTCCAGATTACTCCTTTATGCGTGTGTTTGGCTGTCAATGTTTTCCTTTACTCAAACCCTACACGTCTCATAAACTTCAACCTAAATCTACTTTGTGTGTATTTCTTGGTTATCATCCTTCTTACAAAGGCTACAGGTGCTTAGATCCTTCCTCTGGGAAGGTGTATTTGTCTCGCCATGTCATCTATCATGAGCAGATTTTTCCATTTAGTACCACCTCTGCCACAGCCTTTGTTGCTCCCATTTCTCAAGCTCTATCTCAGCTTCAGTCTTTTTTCTGGTCTCCTTTTTTAGATCTTCAGTCCTCATCAAATCCTAAGTCTGTTTCTATCCCTCTGCAGGCTGCAATGTCTCAGCCTACTTTGCATTCTTTCTCTGCTCAGCCTACACCATTTTCGGCTCATCCTTCTCAGTTTATTGCTTCTACTGATCAGTCTCTTTCTGCTGGTGTCCAGCCTCATTCTTCTATTCCCATTTCTTCTATTTCTATTGATCTTCCTCTTCCTCCTCCTAACACTTACACTTACCCAATGCTTACTCGATCCAAAGCTTCTTTTTAAGCCTTATTAGCCTTTTCTTCTATTTCTTCTTCTATCTATCTTGACACTGAGCCATTGACCTATCAGCAAGCTCTTCAGTCCCCAGTCTGGCATAATGCAATGTTGGAGGAATATAATGCTCTTCTAGCCCAGGGTACTTGGTCATTGGTTCCTCTACCCTCTTCAAAATCTGCCATAGGCTGCAAATGGGTTTTTCGCATTAAGCGTAATTCAGATGGATCTATTGCTCGTTATAAGGCTCGTTTGGTTGCCAAGGGGTTTCTTCAACAAGAGGGCATTAACTATACTGAAAATTTTAGTCCTGTTGCCAAACAACCCACCATTCGCATTTTATTGTGTGTTGCCTTGCATTACAATTGGCCTCTCAAGCAACTAGATATCAGTAATGCTTTTCTTCATGGAGCCTTGGAGGAGGAAGTTTACATGACTTAGCCACCTAGTTTTCCTAGTGCTTCTCATCCACATCATGTTTGTCTTTTAAAAAAGGCTATCTACGGTTTAAAGAAAACTCCTAGAGCTTGGTACTCAACATTCTTCACTTTTCTTTTATCGCAAGGTTTCATTAACAGTCACTGTGATAATTCCTTATTCATTCAAAGGACAACTTCTACCATCACTATTCTCCTAGTCTATGTTGATGATATCCTGGTCACAGGTAGTAGTTCTTCTCACATTGCCTCTCTTATTGCTCACATGCATATTGCTTTTGCCATGAAAGAGTTGGGGAACATTTCCTATTTTTTGAGGGGTCTCCATTAAGGCTTGTGGTGATTCTTATTTTCTGTCTCAATATAAGTATGCCTCTGAAATTCTTCTTAAGGCTGGGATGGCAAATTGCAAGCCTTGCAATTCCCCAATTGCTGTTAAGCCTTCTCTTTCTCCGGATTCTCATCTTCCATTTGGTCAACCTGAACTTTATCGCAGTATAGTTGGGGCCCTCCAATACCTCACAATCACCAGGCCTGATTTGTCTCTTTTAGTTAACCAAGCTTGTAAACATATGCATGCTCCAATTGTTGGGCAGTTTGCTTCAATCAAGAGATTGCTTCAATTTGTTCAAGGGACCTTAACTCATGGTCTCACTTTCAGTCCTAGTTCTTTCGATTTACAGGCCTTCTGTAACTCTAACTGGGTCGGTACTGTTCTCGATCGCCGTAGTACTTCTGGCTATTGTGTGTATCTTGGTTCGAATCTTATTTCCTGGTCAGCAAAAAAACAACCCACAGTGTCTCGCTCTTCCACAGAGGCAGAATACAGGTCTTTAGTGCATACTGCTGCTGAACTCACCTGGTTACAAATGTTGCTTCGTGAGCTTCACATTCCTTCCTCAATTGCTCCCATTTTATGGTGTGATAACCTCTTGGCTATTGCCTTAGCTTCCAACCCTGTGTTTCACACTCGTTCAAAACATATAGAAGTGGACTGTCACTTCATTTGCGAAAAAGTTGCACGCAAACAGATTTTACTCCGTTATGTTTTGCTGATATCTTTACAAAGCCTCTCTCTGTGTCTCGGTTCTAACACCTTCAAGCCAAGCTTCTGGTCTCTCCATCTCCCATCAGCTTGTAGGAGGGTGATAAGACAACCACAGCAACATCAACTTCAGCTTTAGATTCAGCTTCAGTTTCAGGATTAGTTGCAACTGCTTCAGCTCTAGTTGTCCATTCTCAATCAGTTACATCAAGAGCATTGTATAGTCAGTTACGAATTGGTTAAGTGGTTAGGAATTAGTTACAAGCTTAACTCAACATCGTATATATAAATACAGTTGTGTAATTCATAATTCAATTCAATGAGAAATAATATCCTTTTCTTCATCTAGGTTGAAGGTAAGTATTACAATACTCATGTAGTGCTACGCATACCAGAAATTGTATATTTTCATCGTCATTGTCTGAGTCAAAACTCAAATCAAGAGCATGCATCGGCTCCATATATATCACTGTGATATTGTGTTGACCCCTTAAAAACAAAAGTATTAGTGATAATGAAAATACATGAAAAAATGGTCATACAAGAATTTTTTATTTTTATTTAAAATTTTTTTTCAGTAGCAATACTTGCAATCTTTATTTTTATTTTTATTTTTCAATTTTTTTTAGTAGCAATGAAGGGGCTTTTCACACAAGTATATAGCCCAACAGAGAAGTGAAGATAGAAAGTAGTGATAGAAATTATTGGTTGAGAAATTATTCAACAATACTCTTGTGGGATTCAACAAATAAATTGAATTTAGTGATAGAAAGAAATTGATGCTTCCCATGCCATTATTTTTATTTTTATTTTTTTTTTATTTTTTATTTTATATTTATTTTTATTACTACTAGAGACAAATATTTTTTTTTTATAAATATACCTTTGGACTCTTAAGAAAACAATGTTGACAATGCAGTGATATAAATATTTTTTATAAGAGAAGATCATACATACCTTGGAATGCAATGACAATGCAGTGATATAAAACAATGTTGACAATGCTTCCTATGCAATGTTGACAATGCAGTGACATAAAAAATACTTGGAATGACTACTAACAAGCATTATATAGGAGAAGATCATTCAATACTTCAACTACCCATAAACTCCCATTATAATAGCATTCACGATAACTGAATATAGCCGTGGCATTCATTGAATATAGCAGTATGTAGACGTCCCCGAACGCCCCGGGAGGGTTAGCTCCCGTTCTGTAGAGTCGCCACCTCAATATTTTATTTTGGGAAATTTAGGAAACCCTGACTCGGTGCCAAACGGCCACGTGTCCGTCATCACCAAAGTTGCCTCGGCTCGGGAACTTGGGTACGATTGGGGAAGGTCACTTCGTGAGCACCCCCGCTCGCCCGGTCATAGACCGGCCTCTACTAACCATGATATCTATTTTTGAAAACATTGTGAGTTCTTATTCCGGTTATTAGCCTAGGTTACTATGTGATGCGCACAGCATACAAGTATAGACCGAGTCGCCCAAATTGGAACAAAACATTTCATGCTTGTTTTTGAAAATGGTTTGCTACCCGCAGGTAGGCTTGAAACATTTGATGATTTATTCCAATCCAGATAACCCGACCTTCACCCACAGGCATTCAGGAAGATATATCACATAAGCACATAGCCTCATGGTAAGCATTCTATTCATGGCAACACTCACACGCATGTAAGGATGCTAAAGCATAAAACTCACCGAGTACTCCAAGCCAAAATAGAAACTTCATTAGAAATCACGCATGATCCGAACTATATAGAAGTGCCTAATGCAACACGCAAAATGCAACTATGGTAGGCTCGGCTATTCTAAGATGGTATATGAAATGCTACAACTATCATGTATTCAACTTGGAATTGAAAATACAATGCAGTTAGTATGATGCGCCGAGCCCGGTGCATGCAATACAGATGAATGATGCAAACATGCTGTCATACTGTATGCTAATTTAAACATGCCCTAATCTAACCATCATAAGCGGATAAATAAAAGGGAGAAAGACGTGGGGTTGGAAGACATACATCACACTCACGCACACTTATTACAGTTGTGCCCTCACTCGGAGGGTTCGAATAAACAATACAGTCCAAATAAAAGAATATTACAGAATCCTAATTAATTAATGAATTAACTAAGAAAGCAAATAAAACTGGCGTGCAAGCCAGGGACTGCCTTGCTTCTGATGGATGATGCATGTCCAGATTGTCTTGCGCGGAAATCCACCGGAATGCCCCAATTAGCTTCTGTTTACACCTGTTCTTGAAATGCGTACTAAGTTCCAGAAAGTTGCTGATTCCTCATTTTGCTGCAACAGAGAGCAGAACAGGGGCATAGCAATGTATTTGCACAGATATATGCATGTCTCGATCCTCGTACCGCCAATCACGCATACCGAGGCATGATGGTCGAGGAGTCGAAATGCACAACTCAATATAGGATGAATGCACATGAAACTACAGCTAAAACCTAACTCCATCATGGATAATCCGGAGTGTCGGTGACTGGGGAATTGAGACACATTCCGTCACTCGGAGTATGAAATATACCTCGTTTCCCGTGCCCGGGCTAACTCCTATTCCGGACATGATGCAATATGCATGATATGCACGAAATGCAACTAAGATGTAATCCTAACATACAGAATGCTATGAAAATGAGACGCCTCGAAATGCGTGCACACAGGCACGCGAACCGAGAAAAGATATGTGTCTCGAAATACGTGCACGCGGGCACGCAAACCGAGGCGATGATATGTGTCTCGAAATGCGTGCACGCGGGCACGCAAACCGAAGCGATGATATGCGTCTCGAAATACGTGCACGCGGGCACGCAAATCGAGGCGATGATATGCGTCTCGAAATACGTGCACGCGGGCATGCAAACCGAGGCGATGATAGAAACAATACGAATGAGGTGCCTCGAAGTGCGTGCACACGGGCACGCAAACCGAGGCGATGGCAGAAACAATACGAATGAGGTGCCTCGAAGTGCGTGCACACGGGCACGCAAACCGAGGCGATGGCAGAAATAATGCGAATGAGGTGCCTCGAAGTGCGTGCACATGGGTACGCAAACCGAGGTGATGGCAGAAACAATGCGAATGAGGTGCCTCGAAGTGGGTGCACACGGGCACGCGAACCGAGGCAATGATAAAATGCGATGAAATGATATGGAAATGACAAGTGGGCTTATACCAACAGGAGTGAGCCTCAGCCACACTCACATCGGATGCCGAATGAGGTGCCTCGAAGTGCGTGCACATGGGTACGCAAACCGAGGTGATGGCAGAAACAATGCGAATGAGGTGCCTCGAAGTGCGTGCACACGGGCACGCGAACCGAGGTAATGATAAAATGCGATGAAATGATATGGAAATGACAAGTGGGCTTATACCAACATGAGTGAGCCTCAGCCACACTCACATCGGATGCCGGCGGATAAGAACGGAGTGCCTCGAAATGCGTGCACACGGGCACGCAAACCGAGGCAGTGATAAAATGCGATGAAATGACATGGAAATGACAAATGGGCTTATACCAACATGAGTGAGCCTCAGCCACACTCACATAGGATGCCGGTGGATAAAAATGGACTTCCTTGAAATGCGTGCACAAGGGCACGCAAACTGAGGTAGTGATAAAATGTGATGAAATGTGGCACAAATGATATGCAAGCATGCTAATGGGATTTCAGCACTAAAATATGGGGGAAAACAGTCCCGAAATGAGGCGAAATGATATGAAACGCATGGAATTGTCCCGAAATGCAACATTAGGCACCCGAAATGGCCTACAGCTATGCCAAACATGCACAATACGGACATGCAATGCAAATACAGAAGCTAGACAGTCCCAAAAGATGCACTTTCACAGTTATAAACATGTCCAAACAGCAAGCATAGGTAAGGGAAAAATAGCATGCAAGAATAGGGGCCAAAAGATGGGTAATGAAGCAAGTGATATAAGCAAAACCCAAACTGAAAAATTTCTTTCTACAACACTGAATATGGACAAAAAATATGAACATTTACAGTATATGACATCCTCAAAATCAGTATACAAATATGGTAGAAAGGTGATGCAAAATTAGGCTCAAAAGTGGCTACAACATGAGGTATACAAAATAATCACCAAACGGCCAAAGACCCTTAATAAAACATGTAGAATGGACCAAAATAAGAACTTTTCCAGAACTGTAAAATGGCCAAAAACAAAAGCATGGTAGGCTAACTAAACATGCAAGAATGGGGAATAAAAGAGGGATATAACATGAAGTGACCTATGGAGGCCCCAAACCATGAAAGGACCTAAATGAAACATGAAGTATGGACCAAAATAAGAACTTTTTCAGAACTATAAAATGGCCAAAAACAAAAGTATGATAGGCTGCCATTGCATGCAAGAATGGGGAAGAAAAGAGGACTATAAAGGTAGGTACAACATGGAAGTCCCAAATGGTGTTGAGCCCTTCTTCAATGTTGAAGAGGGGCTCAAAATAAGCCTAATATCAGTTTACAACATGCTCGAAAATAAAATGCTCATGGGTCAAAAATAGCATGCAAAACTATGACATACAAGAGGATCAATGAAGCAAGTGTGTTATGGAGGGCTCAAACAGGGTTGAGCCCTTAATGAAAAGTGAAGATGAGCTCAAAATATGGCCCTTTCTGTTAGGGCCGGAGCTTGAAACAAAAAATAAGTGGGGCTTAGAAATAGATCAAGAGAAAGGGTCAAAAGAGTAAAAGTGTTACTTACCCTTGAAGATTCAAACTTTTGTTGCTTCTTGGATGAATTTGCAGCTTCTTTGGCCTTTGAGATGATTAAGAAAAAAGGTCAAAAGGGTAAAGGTGTTACTTACCCTTGAAGATCCAAACTTTTGTTGCTTCTTAGGTTGATTTGGAGCTTTTTTAGCCTTCAAGAATCCTTCCTTGTTGCTGGAGAGGAGATGGTGAGGTGGTGGTAGAGCTTGGTGGTGTAGAAGGAATGATGGTTAGGAACTTAGGGTTTTTCAAAGAATTGAGAGCTATGGAGATGGAGTTGAGTATGGAGACTTGAAGGAGAGTTTTTCTAACCCTTGTAAGTGAAGCCACCAGCTGGTTAAAAGGGTTCAATTCTCTAACCCTTGCAAAG